GATCCCGCGCGGCTTCCCCCCGCCGAGCAGCGCCCGCCCGCGCGCGGGGCAGCCGCCGCCGCCGCGGAAAGTTTCCTCTCGCCGGGCAAAGTTTGGCGCCGCGGGGGCTCGGCGTCTGTCGGGGCGGCGGGGCGCGGAGCCCGCGCGGGTGCTGAGCGGCCGGGCTGTGTGTGTTGCAGGGAGCGCGCCGCTCAGGCCGGCCCCGCCGCGGGCGGCTGAACGCGTGAGACCCGCGCCGCGCCTCGCGCCCCGACGCTGTCGGCCCGCCGTGCCCTCGAGAGCGCCTCTCCGCCGGCTGAAGGTTGGTGCGCAGCGCCGCGGCCGCCCCTCCGCGCCCCGCGCGCCGCTCCGCGCCGCTCACGGCGTCTCGTTTGCAGCCATGCCCTGCGTCCAGGCGCAGTACGGCTCCTCGCCCCAGGGAGCCAGCCCGGCCTCGCAGAGCTACAGCTACCACTCGTCGGGGGAGTACAGCTCCGACTTCCTCACGCCCGAGTTCGTCAAGTTCAGCATGGACCTCACCAACACCGAGATCACGGCCACCACGTCGCTGCCCAGCTTCAGCACCTTCATGGACAACTACAACACGAGCTACGACGTGAAGCCGCCGTGCTTGTACCAGATGCCCCTGGGCGGCCAGCAGTCCTCTATCAAGGTGGAGGACATCCCGATGCACGGCTACCAGCAGCACGGCCACCTGCCCACGCCGGCTGAGGACATGATGCCGCACTCCGGCTCCGTGTACTACAAGCCCTCGTCGCCACCGACGCCCTCCACGCCCGGCTTCCAGGTGCAGCACGGCCCCGTGTGGGAGGACCCCGGCCCCCTGCACAACTTCCACCCCAACTACGTGGCCACCACGCACATGCTGGAGCAGCGCAAGACGCCCGTGTCGCGCCTCTCGCTCTTCTCCTTCAAGCAGTCGCCGCCCGGCACTCCTGTGTCCAGCTGCCAGATGCGCTTCGAGGGGCCGCTGCACGTGCCCATGGGCGCGGAGCCGGCGGGCGCGCACCACGCCGTCGAGGGGCAGCCGTTCGCCGTGCCCGGCGCGCTGCGCAAGCAGCCCCCCATGGCCTTCCCGGGGCTGCCGCTGGGCCACGCGCCGCAGCTGCTCGACAGCCAGGTGCCCTCGCCGCCCTCGCGGGGCTCCCCGTCCAACGAGGGGCTCTGCGCCGTGTGCGGGGACAACGCCGCCTGCCAGCACTACGGCGTGCGCACCTGCGAGGGCTGCAAGGGCTTCTTCAAGGTGAGCGGCGGCGCGGGGGGCTGCGCGGGGCGGTGCGGACGGGCGGGCGCGCGCTCCCGCGGACAGAAATCGCCGAGGACAGAGCACCGTGTCCGAGCTAACCAAGCGGAACGCAATCCCCCCAGGCCAAATTAAGCGATCTCCTTATCTCGCCGTGCTGATTGAATAATCTGATCATTTTAAATAGCGAGGGTCTCCGAGGAATGTAGATAACATGAGTGCGCACGGATCTGTATTTACCGAGCGGCTCCTTCCCCGCGCGGAGCCGCGGGGCGGCCGCCCCTTTGGCGCCGCTGAATGCCCGGGAACGGGGAGCGCGGAGCGGGGTGCGGGCGCGGCTCACGGCGGCTCCCGCAGCGCACCGTGCAGAAGAACGCCAAGTACGTGTGCCTGGCCAACAAGAACTGCCCCGTGGACAAGCGCCGCCGCAACCGCTGCCAGTACTGCCGCTTCCAGAAGTGCCTGGCCGTGGGCATGGTGAAGGAGGGTGAGTGCGCGGCCGGGCGCGGCGCGGCGCGGGGCGGCGCGGAGCGGAGCGGAGCGGCGCGCTCAGCGGCCGCTCTCTTGCAGTGGTGCGCACGGACAGCCTCAAGGGCCGCCGGGGCCGCCTGCCGTCCAAGCCGAAGAGCCCGCAGGAGCCCGCGCCGCCCTCGCCGCCGGTGAGTCTGATCAGTGCGCTGGTGAGGGCCCATGTCGACTCCAACCCGGCTATGACCAGCCTGGACTATTCCCGGGTAAGCGGCGGCGGCTGCTCGCGCGGGTCCCGGCGCGGCCCGACGGCGCGGCCGGCTCGAGCGCGGCGGGCGGGGGGAGCGCGGGCAGGCGGCGCCGCCCGGCCCGGCCCGGCCCGATCCCGGCCCCGGTCCAGTCCCGGCCGCCGCGCGCTCCGGCGCTCGTCGCGCCTGCCCAAACGGCCCTTTGCAGATTGAAAGCAGCGACCTCGTAGCACCGGCCCTAATTGAATTAATTGCCCCGGAACATCTAATTTCCTTACTGGTCAGAGAGAGGTTTAATTGTTATAACAACCCAGCTCCCCGACTAGAAACGGGGTTAGCAATTTCACGGGTTATATACTTTAGAGAACCTCATTAAGTGCTTTTTAAAATGAATTTCTAGTTCCAGGCTAGCCCTGACTACCAGATGAGTGGGGATGACACCCAGCATATCCAGCAATTCTACGATCTCCTCACGGGCTCCATGGAGATCATCCGGGGATGGGCAGAAAAGATCCCTGGCTTCACCGAGCTCCCCAAAACAGACCAGGACCTGCTCTTCGAGTCTGCCTTCCTGGAGCTCTTCGTGCTGCGCCTCGCTTACAGGTACGGCCCTGAGCGGGCCCTGCGGGGCGCCGTGAACCCGGCCTTTCAGGGTCCACTGATCTGCATTTTATTAACTCCTCTGTAATTAGGTGCCTCTTAAATCCTTCATTTATTGCTCCTCAAGTAATTAATTGTTTAGCTTTTCTCCCCCATCTTGCTTTTTTTTTTTCCTCTTTTGTTCTTTTTTTCTTTCTTTTGTATTTTTTTTATTTTCCCGTTCCCTTTTTTTCTTTTTTTTTTTTTTTTTTTTTCTCTTTCTTCTCTATCTTTCACTATTTTCCTCTTTCTGGTCTGCCTTCCTTCCTTCCTCTCATTCATTCCCCATTCATTCTGGGCTTGCCGTGTTCTTCTCAGGTCAAACCCCGTGGAGGGCAAGCTTATTTTCTGCAATGGGGTGGTGCTGCACCGGTTGCAGTGCGTCCGTGGCTTTGGCGAATGGATCGACTCCATCGTGGAATTCTCCTCCAACTTGCAGAACATGAACATTGACATCTCCGCGTTCTCCTGCATCGCTGCCCTGGCCATGGTGACAGGTCGGTGCCTCCCTCTCTTTCTTTTCCCCGCTGCAGCACTAGGCATCCCGCTGCCCCCGCGCTGCTCACCTGTAATGGCTGCATCCTTGTCTTTTGCAGAGAGGCATGGGCTTAAGGAACCCAAGAGGGTGGAAGAACTGCAAAACAAGATTGTAAATTGTCTCAAAGACCATGTGACTTTCAATAACGGGGGATTGAATCGCCCCAATTATTTGTCCAAACTCTTGGGGAAGCTCCCTGAACTTCGCACTCTTTGCACGCAGGGGCTGCAGCGCATTTTCTACCTGAAATTGGAAGATTTGGTGCCACCTCCAGCAATAATCGACAAACTTTTTCTGGACACTTTACCTTTTTAAGACTCTTCCCATGCACTTATGTTGAACTTAAAAGAAACTTCACCTGTCTGAAGGGGGATTCATCTGGGCGCAAAGCGGCACCTTTGGGTGCCGGGTTCCCATCCCCAAAAAACTGTTGCTAACTTCCTGCAGGCAGAACATGAATGGGCATTTTGGCTCTGGGGCATCATGGATTCAGATCATGGACTACACAAATACCATGGTATAAACTTTTTATTATGAGCTTAAAAATGAATTTATTATTAAGGACTTCTGGTTAAAAAGATGAACATATCTGGCAACGCCGGGTGCGCAGCTAAGACTCAAATGATGACAAAAGTATTAAAGTGACCCACAAGTCTCACCCTCTAAAAGTTTTCTGCTGTAAAAGAAAGCTGTAATATATACTAAAATCTAAATGTTGCGTGGGTGGCATGTCATTACAAGGCAAAGACTTGTAAATTTTATCAGTTTGGCTTTTAAAAAATTATTCTGATTATTCTGTGCCTATTTATGAATAAATATTGAAAACAATACTAAAAAAAATTAAAAGCTAAACATGTTTGCAAAAAAAAAAAAAAAAAAAAAAAAGAAAAATCAATTGCTCCATAAAAGGGAAGCATGATGATTCTAGGGTGACAATGTTATAGGCACTTGCTATTTCAGTAATGTCTATATTCTATAAATAGTATTTCAGACACTATGTAGTCTGTTAGCTTTTATAAAGATTGGTAGTTATCTAAGCTTCAAACATTTTCTCAATTGTAAAATAGGTGGGCACAAGTATTACAAAACCGAACTCCTCGACAAAGGGACACATAGTGTTTGTAAACACCGTCCAACATTCCTTGTTTGTAAGTGTTGTATGTACTGTTGATGTTGATTAAAAAAAAAAGAAGTTTATATCTTGATTATTTTGTTGTCTAAAGCTAAACAAATCTTGCATGCAGCAGCTTTTGACTGTTTCCAGAGTGCTTATAATATACATAACTCCCTGGAAATTACTGAGCACTTTGAATTTTTGTTTTGTTTCTGTTTTTGTTTTTTAATGTCTAAAATTGTCGGTTAATATATTATTTTATGTTCGAGTAATATTTTTAATATTGCCATATTCTGTAATATTTTTCTTTGTATATTTCCAGTATGGCACATTATATGAGTCACTGCCTTTTTTTCTATGGTGTATGACAGTTAGAAACGCGATTTTTTTTTTCCCTGATAACTCTTTCTTTGGGAAAGACAATTTTAATGTTTACAACAATAAAACACGTAAACGAATAGTTTTTCGTCTTCTTTCTGTCTAAGTGAGAAGCACCACCACCAGCATCCATTGCAAATGCAGGACAGTAGCCTGACAATGTAGTAATAAACTGCAGAGGAGGATGGATGGGGCTGTTTCATTTAAGTAATGTGTGCGGCAGGACTTGCCAGCTCCGAGGGAGGAGGAAGAGGAGAAGCCGAACGAGAAGGTTGGTCCTTTCCCGGCTTTTTCTCGCGGCGGCTCCGCGGCGGGGCTCGCTCCGGCAGCGCCGCGCGGCTCCGCGGGGCCGAGCGCGGCAAGGGGCGGCGGG